AGTGCCTAACATATAGGAAGTTCTGGGAAGCAGCAGCTGCTTGTGCTATTTGCTATCTGTAAAATGGGTATAGTGATGAAGGGCCAATAATAAGCATCTATCTCCATGAACTTTCACTGGGATTCGGATTAAGGATGTAAAATCCTGTTTAATTAGTTAACCAGTTAAACTTTATTTAACTGGTTAAGAGTTAAATGGGGGCAGATTGAAAGGCCGCTCCAGCCTCTACCAGTTAACCGTAACCAGTAAGGCTATGTCTACACTACACTTCTTTTTTGGAAAAAGGTATGCAAATTGCGGAGTGCATGTTGCATACCTTTTTCCGATTCTTTTTTCGGAAGAGGTTCAAAATCTCCTCTTTTGGAAAAGCCTTTCTTCCTTGTGAAACAAGGTTTACAGGGATTTTGGAAGAGCGCGTCTGCTCTTCCAAAAAAATTTCGGACGTGGCGGAGTTTTGTTCCCTGGACGAGGCGGAGTTTTTCTGGGATACTTCTGGTATCCCGGAAAAACTCCATACTGTATATATAGCCTAAGTACTTCTGGTATCCTGGAAAAACTCCATAGTGTATACATAGCCTAACCCTCACCCATTAATTTCACATCCCTAATTCGGATGCCTGACTCCTGCAGGCCTCTGAGAGTTGCAGTACTGCAGAGGTGGTGAAATGCAGTTCCAAAATGCCTTGGAAAGGAGTCTGCATTCATGCCAAGGAGACATGATTGCTGTGCTTAGATTTGTCTGTTGTGACCAGGTAACTTTGCACAGTAGGGTCGTGAATGGGTGAGTTCTAGGGGCCTGCATTTAGCTAACCATCAGGGTTATTTCAGGATGTTTGTGATTTTTCAGTCCCACAAAGAGCCTCACTAAGGGTTCTGATCTCTCAAAGGCATGTTTATCGTCACAAATTAAGTTTAGTTTAAAATGCCACTATCAGGGTGGGATTTTAAAATCTTATTTCTATTTTGTAGATCACTGGTTCTCAACCGGGGTGCACAGAGGTCTTCACAGATCAGCTCATCCAGATATTTGCCTGGTTTTACAACAGGCTGCGTAAAATGCACTGGTGACGTCAGTAAAAGCCAGAATTTCATACCACAACTTGTTTATAATGCTCTGTGTACTGTGCACTCAAATGTAGGCACAGTATTTAGATTCCAATTGATTTAATTTATGATGTGGTAAAAATGAGGAAGTAAGCAGATTTTTCCAGTAGTTGCATATGTGACGTTTTTGTGTTTGTATGTTGGATTTTGTGAGCAAGTAGTTTCTAAGCGAGGTGAAACTTGCTGAAAGAGGTACAGCCATCGGGAAAGGCTGAGAGCCGCTGGTGTAGATTTTCCCTTTAAGACTTGATGCCCAAATCTGTGGTGCTGCGATTGTAAACGTGGCCGGTGACTGGGGCTCTGCGGCGTAGCTGTGATACACACAATAACAATGTTACTTGGCTGGCCCATAAATGATTTTGAGTGTTAAGGGGGAAAGCCCTAAATGTGCCACTTACAGTAAACATGGTGTGTCAGTTAGGCCCCATGTAAACTCCTCAGGAGTGCAAAGACTGTATGTGAAGATTGATCCCGTTGTTGGGAGCCCAGCACAATGCTAGCAGAGGCTGTGCAAACTTCAGCCAGTTGTGCCAATGTCTCGCTCCCGTGGTGCAAAAAACCAGCTTCCGTTCCCATTTGCTGCCTCTCTCAGCAGCCTTGCCCGATTGCATGGTGGTGATGGGGTGGGGATGTGGGTCAGACCAAATTCACATTCCCCTATGATGAGCTACATGAGGATTTGAATTCAGTGCCCATAGGGGAGAGGAAGGCTAGTGCATCGTCTTACTGAGCCACGTTTCTCTCCTTCCCACCAAATGAGAGCAGTTGTTGTGAATGCAGACATTTCAAGCCGGATCCATTGAAAGCAGTGGCAAAGCTCCCATTGATTGCAACGATTCAGGATGAAGGCCTTGTTATGCTATCCCTGCAAATCCAAATTACGTGCCTCATTTTATTTGTCCACCAATTTCAGGAACCAATTTACTGGACATATTCATGGAAGCATCTTCTCTTGGGGAAAAAAATTCCCCTTCAGGGGCAAATGTTGTGATGAAATCTATTTTTGGGGGAGGGGGAATGGATTTCTTTTCATGTTTAACTGTGGAATCCTGTGATCTGGTGGAAAAGGAGGCTGTGTTTTCAGAAATGTTACACAGTGAGTCTAAGCTACATTAGAGCTTCTCGTTCTGCCTCCTCCAACCAATCAGCAGCCAGGAGATGATAACACTGAGTTCATATAACACTTTTTATCCATGGGTTTCAAAGCACTTTACAATGGACCTGACTGTCATTATCCCCATTTTTCAGATGGGGAAACTGAGGTACAGGGTGATGGTATGTCTTGCCCAAGGCCATCCAGCAAACCAGTGGCAGAGTCAGGATTAAAGACCAGCTGTTCTGAGTCCCTGTGCAGACCACTAGTCACTAGATCACACTGCCTCCCATCTGTTATTGATCCAGTATGGCTTTGAACTTCCATTCCAACTGCCTGAGCCTAACACCTGTTCGAATCCTTTGGCTTTGCAGTGTTTGCTAAAGTTGCTAAGTTTGTGCTTCTTCAGATCGGGGAGGGGTAGTGTCTCAGAGGAAAGGAGCATATGTAGAGAATGTTTTGCTACCAGCTCCCTCTGTTTTATATCAGGGAGGGTTTGCCTAGGATCTGTGCCCCTGTTCATCTCAATGTTACTATTTTTATATAAATACCTAGTAAGCAAGTGTTGTATTGGTGCATTTCTCATTCATTAAAAACTGAAACCATTGAAGTTGAATAACCAGTGATTTAATTCCAGCCATATCAGTATCCAAGGGCACGTGATATTTAACAACAATTTATAGCTTGATGAAATCTCTTTCTTATATGAACTTAACCAGTGTTTCAAATACCCGTCTCCAGGGAGAGGCAGGGTGTTTTAAAAAGCAAATCTAAATGGGAGCAGCAGAGACGACAATCCCCAAAATAAACTAACAGCCGCCCTCTCGGACAGAGTCCTGGACCACGCATTAAGCATTATACCCTGCTCTGGAAGGCAGTAAGCACAGACTAAGTCACCCTGGGACATGGGTCTTCTACTAGAATGCCCTTAAATCATAAGAGCTGTTAGTGTGAGTGATTCACCTGACACGATTTTAATGGTGACTCAGAGAGAGGCCAGGTCTCCCAGGTAGCCAAACTCTGAATACTTCAGGATTTCATAGATCCAATTAAATAACGAATGGAATAGGAAACCGGAGTAGTTGTTGAGGAAGGGATGTACAGTAGACTTCCGATAATCGGAACCTATGGGACTGAGGTGGTGCTGGATTATCAGATATGCCGGACTATCAGGATGTACTATAAACTGGTTATATATACACTGTATACATTATATTCTGTATATAAAGTGTTCTTAACCCTTTTTATTGTACATACTGTATACAGTACAGGCAGTCCCCGAGTTACGCGGATCCGACTTACGTCGGATCTGCAGCTACGAACGGGGCTTTTCTCGCCCCCGCGGACTGGAGCGGCGGAACAACCGGGCCCGCCGCCCGCCTCCTCCCGGGCGGGA